ACTGAATAATATGATAAAAATAATAATTCGTAGGTGTCGAGTGTCGGCCATATGTAAAACCCCAAGCCACATTTTTAAACAAATCGTAAATTGAGATAGTTGTTCTTGCGAATTCCAAACAATACGTTTGATCAATAGAAAAAGTGAGTTTTTTTTAGATACTGTTTAACAACCATTTATTTTTGTAAAATGAGTACCATCAACTTATTTACCTACCGTAACTACTATATTAACGTTTTTCTCGTTTCCGATGTTACCCATTAACCACTGATTCTTTTGAATTTAATTTTATTGTAAGCTGAATAGTGATAATTTATATTGATATGAATTTATTATATAATATTTAAATGATTTTTTTCTCATAAATAAAAACGAGTGAGATGATAATTGATAAGTATTCAATCGGAATCATAGGTTTTATATAAAATAAATAATTGGAATAAATTAACCAGGGCTAATATGTAATTATTTTTTCAAATCATTTTTAATACGATTTCATATTTTTTTACAAACTTAAATAAGAAATCTAATAAAATACAAAACAAAGTTTTCATTCATTTTATAAGATATTTACTATAGATAATTTATACGCAGGAACCTATATGTATTTGTTCCAATATTATTTTTATAGAGAAGTTTGGGGAAAAGATTACAACCATCAGAAATTAAACCTATTACACCGGGAAAGAGTCTATTGTCTTAAACGCATTAAAGGTAGGCATATATTGCATAGTAGACTTCGAATTCGTGCTTCGACATAATAGTATGTAATAAAAATGGGCTTTATGGTACTGTAGGATTTTTAAATCCTTTGCGCGGTACTGAAAAGAAAATTAATCCCGTTTCCTCTCAATTCTGGATTGATTAAGAGATCGCGTGTGCCGTGCACGCGTATATATCATAAGAACTGAGAACCGTTATATAACACCATTTGCGGAAATATAGTGTTTGCTGTTGTGATGTAAATTAATTAATAATTAATAACGATATAAAGTAATGTTACTATTCAAGTATAATTAATTATTCGCCTTTTCATCAACACTATATTGATCGAATGTAATACAGCAACCGAGAATAATAATTTGTTCTGAGAAATTGGCAAGAATAATGGAACACCTACTTACAGTTGTGTTACTGCAGTCGTATATATTTTGAAAAATAGTGATTACATAATTTATAACTTTCTGAGAAATTTCTAATGAATTACATTTCAGATTCTGACCAAAAAGTGGAATATTTTAGTTTTACAACAATGTTTTAGATCCTAATGTATACATTGATTTCACAATGATGGGTTGTTTTTTTTGTGCCCGTCATCGTCTTTTGAAACGGTGAAAATGCCAAGATGTTCAACTTCAATATCAATGCCCTATGTCGGTCAGAAAGTGAATCTAGTTGATACTTTGAGGGGCCAGAAGTATAAAAAAATCCCAGCACCCTTACTTGTTTAAATAATTGAAGAAAAAAAAAAGTATAGAGAATATTTTTCAACAAAATCGATTTTCAAGTAAAAAACAAATAACCATAAATACTTAAAATTGTCTCAAAATGTTAATATTAGCATTTTAATTAGGTATAGGGTATAAATTAAAAATATTTTGATTTTTTTTGAGTTATTTACATTTGAGTTACCTAACATTTGACAGTTAAAATTTTATTTCTCATTAATGTCAATTAAAAAGGTTTGCTCAGTCAAAAAACTTATAACTTGCAAAGCGCAAAGTTCCTTTATAAGTTGTTATTTCTGAAATTAAATACAAGTTGAAGGTGATTCCATAAACATTTTAAAATCTTTTATGAACATCTGAAGTTTAAACATTAACACAATTGGATATTTATACGTTCACGTACCTATAGGTAATGATATGTTATAATCAAACGATTTTCTTATTTTTTTGTAATTAAAAAATGATTAGAAGTATCGATACATAACATTTTCACCGAAATTTGATTACCAAATATTTAAATAATTATTTTGTATATTTGGTAAAAATGTTGAAAATATATCAATTGTTGAGCTGTTTAAAGATATTTGACATTTTTATTTTTTTAGTTTATTTTTTTAAATGTTGATAAAACAAAAATTCGCTGAAAGTTTCTCAAAAGTTTTTATTTAAATTATTTATAACATTAAAAGTAACATAATTTTTTTCCATAAACATTGGTGGTCTATGATTATAAAATTAGTCAAAATCACAAAAATTTGCAAATCATTTATAATTTAAAATGAGTAAAATGTTCAATTATTATAGCTGAAGCATAACACAAGGTTCCTCATAAGTAATTCATTCGGGAATAAATCATCTAAAAAAGCAGGTAAATGGATATCGCTCAACTGTACATTAGATCGTAATAAATTTCAATTCAATGATATAATATCATTGTATACAAAAAACGATTCTGAGAGGAGACCGTATGTTAGTCTGGGATATTTCATAATGTTATTAATTATTATTAATAAGGTAGCCACTAGCCAGTAAGTCAAAATAAATTATCAGTGATGCTGGAAAAATATTATATATACTTGTGTAAAATTGGGCTGGTTTGGAACCGAATTACAAAAAAATGACTAAAATCGTTATTTTTTGTGTTAATATGTAATTTCGTATAATTTTGAACTTATAATAACTATTAAAAAAACTGTATTTATGTTTATTTTTAGATATTTTAATTACAGAATATGTAGCTACTTACGTAGAACCTTTCGATTTGAGAAATGTTGCCAACATTTGAACTTCAAATGCTTAAAAAAAAAATCCTGCTTGTGTATTTTAAATATTTTTCAACTGCCATTGTAACAATACATCAAAATTCTTGTATTAAATTGTTATGCTTCTTGACAAAATCAATAAAATTTAATTGACATTTATAGGAAAATAAAACTAACAAAAATGAAAATTGAAAATGTCCGTGAACAGCTCAAAACGAGGCAAGTTTGACGTTAGATTTTGATATTAAAATAAACATATGGTGTAAATTTCAAGTATCTACAGTTATTCGTTTTTGAATTACAACAAAATAAGATAATCGCTACATGAGAAATCTAGTAAATATCCAATGTTGTAAAAATATCAACTTCAAACGTTCATAAAAATTTAATTTGACTTTTCTGCAGAATTTTTTTTTTTTTGATAAAAATAGATAAGCTTGTAAAGAATCTTGTAATAAATTTTTAAATGTTAGATACGAAAAGAAAATATTTTATGAATTTCCAACTTTATAAAATAGTTAGCAAATATTTATGATTTTTACGTATTTGGTCGAAATTTGAAATTCAGACGTTCCGAAAAAATTATTGTGGACTTTTTTTTAAATCGCTCGGCTCAGAGATAAAAATGTATTAGCACAATTTTTTTTATAAAAATTGGACGTTCTGATATGGACAAAATGAGTTAATTAAAGAAAGAATTTTAAAAAGAAATTTTTGTTGTAATTCAAGAATATTTTTCATGAAGACTCATAATTTTTAAGTATAGATGTATAGTATTATATTTTTTATTCACAATGATATTTTTACAAACCTTTTCACACAAAACAAGTATTTATGGTATTGCCTGAGTATATTGTATAGGTTTATTCACATATAGGTTATTCACTCTGTTCTACGATAAGGTGGTATCAACTTAAAAGTTAATAACAATAATATATTAATATACAATATCATATTATGATAATGCTATTGATAGTAATATTTATTAAATTATAATATTAGACAATTGAATATAATAATAATGCTTGGATATAATAAATGCAATTTTTTTTAAATAAACGGCTATTATAGCAGTATAAATATGTCATAAAATAAACTTAGTAATAAGGCTGACATTATCACTAGGAATTGTTTTTTATGTGCAATGATTTATCATTGGATCCAAATTTAACACTTACATCATTACAGTGACTTACTTAATGACGATGTACACTTGACACGTACTGTAGCAGATCGGTTACCTACTTCCCCTTTTTTTCATTTATTATCTTTTTCTGTGAACACATAATGGTTGAAAAAGTGTTTGAAAAAATGTGGTACCTTTCTTTTTTGCATAGCTATTTATTCAGATGGTATTCCCGATTTTACTGATAGTTTCGTTAAGCGTGAATAAAAAACATCGACATTTTTATAGTAAGAATATGTACCTATAATAAAGTAAATCTATTCAAAAAACATCTACAAGAGCGTTGATGTTGTTATACTTATTTCAGTTATTTCGATATTAAAAAGTAAATTCGGTGACTCTTTATGTGTACTACATACTTAACATAATACTAAACAAATGTAAATGTACATTTTAAATTATCTAAATAGTAAATTCTTAGTTGAAGAAATAGATTTAAAAAAAATCGTCATTGTTTTTCTTAATGTGCTATGTATATTAAGTACGAAAGGTACTGCGAATGCTATAGCTAAAGTTAGAACACAAAAACTCTTTGGCAGTTCAGCACGTGCTCCTCGATCAGTTTTTAGGGAATATTCAAAGTGTTTGCTTTTGATGAAAACACATGTTTGATATTATTATGATACGTTTGTGTATGTGTATTGTTAATTAACTCGGTTCTTCACTAGGTATGGTTATATAATAGTTAATAAACATTTGGTTACCAATAAATGTAGGTATTCTATTAATATTACCATTGGAAAAATAAATATTACCACGTAGTTCGCTGGCTGAAAAACGAATCTTTAGAATATCATTGTGTCGTATTTTTTAATAACTGTTATGATATATTCATAACTAATTACAATTTACAATACAAACCTTCACAAAAGAGCATTATACAATATTGTATAACGAATAAAAAAATAACTTATGGGAAACTACAGCAATAATTTTTCGAATTTATTATCTGCGGGACGTGAAAAAAATATGGAGAATGTCAAAAAGAAAAATAATACTAAGTTTTCTGTTTTTGTTTTTTACAATAAATTGAAGTTTTTGATCTACAGCTTTACTTTGCGATTTTTTTAAGGTTCTAATCACAGCATTAATGTTATGTTTTAGATCAAATGAACGGGTAACGAGTGTCCAAAACAATGAGGGGGCGGGGCCAGAGACCGATGGAGCCAGGGTAAGCGACGTATTTACGCGACCCAGCCCCCCCGCCCCCAACAACATGGATAAATCGGATCGCAGACGCAGGCCTTTTGCCTTTGACAAGGTACGTAAATATTTCATTAACATCCAATTTCAAATCACTGCAATACGATGATTATTACAATGCAAACCAATTTGTTTGTATAATGACAATATTTTCAAACGACAATTTATTTCAAAAAACATTTTCCTATCGGTACATAGTACAGTACGTATATTAAATATTCTCTTATCGACAAATTGCATTTTAAACCATCTTTAAATTGATATTCAAAAAAATTTACCAATCAGTTTAGTCAAATAAATTCTTTTTCACGCAGTCATGTACTGAGTATATTGTTGTTTAAAAACTGTACCTATATAGAAACTAAACTAAAAATATACAGAAGTAGTGGTAAGTAGGTGCCACTAAAAAATCAGGTCGCATTGAAATTAATATGACTTTTAGTTCATGATTATTTCATAAACTTTGATTTCTGAACGGTCTAATCATAAGTTGAAATATTAAACCGATGCAATTGCAGCCCATACAGCATGACGGGAATTTAATGGCTACTCGACCCCAGACAGCTTTGTATAAATCATACAAATTACTGATTTCCTGGCCCCAGCGTTTATGTTAATTGTATCACAGGTCGCTAAATAAACATAAGTTTAGAACACAATATACTGCAGCCATCTATAATATACTTAAACCAGACGGGCATTTCTACGCTGCAGAGCGGCTGATGTTTTGAAGAGTCAATTAAAACGCACGAGCGAAATTATTCGGGTTAATTGGTGTGAATTTACATTTTCAGATGGAGGGGCTGGTCAGAGAAATGAAAGACGAAGAGACTGGGGTGCGTGTAAAAAGTCAAAAGTTATTTCTCACTTCGATCCCTTCTGCTTTTGCCGGTACGTATATATTACAATAACTGTATAGTGATTAAGTGATAATAGTATAATTGATGAAAAATACAACTTGACCTTACAGTATTTATAATTAATGATAGTAGGTATATTATAACTACTATACGTGCATACATCTACTTTATGATAGGTAGTGATTTGGTCCGGAGTACTTAACCTGCTTATTCCGTACACAAAAAACCCAACAACTGACGTTCCTCAAACATAGAAACACACACACGTTTACAAACTTATCTAACCAAACTCCAAACATAATTTGAATATTTATCAATATGATTAATGCAACGTAATTCTTAGATTTTGACGACAATACTAATTTTTGCGGCTTTCTCTAAATAAAAAAAAACGATATACCTACCTACAATACGCTGTGTAAATTGTATACTCGATATAACTACCTAATTATGAAAAAATCACTTACAATTAAATGAATCGTAATAAACTTAAAAAAAAATAAACTAATGATGAACGAATTAGCACATGCCCGCGCGTAATCCGCAGCTAACATAATGCTAATAAATTCTTTATCGTTCGAGAGGATAAATCACCTTTTGTTACAATCTTTTAGATTAGAAGTTTCGTACCCATATAAAAATATAATTCAACAATCGAATCATACGGTTTATCTGTATATTTATAACCACATATATTATATGCGTTTTTTATAACGAGCACGTTTAAAGTATTCGGTAGGTACTATAGATATGATTTATCTGTTTATCATTTTATCCGTTCTATAATATAATTCTGTAAAAAATTTTGGTGTCAGTTTATTTCAAATCATTGTTGTATTCTACATATTTACTTGAAATAAATATTATTATATAATCTATATTTTCAATTGACTCCTAAAACAAACTCCTGGTGTAGCTCAAAGTTATAGGTAATGATTGTTTATTTATAAAAGTCCAAGACCAATGTATGTGGGCAGGTATCTATAGTGTGTATAACAAAGCCGCTATTCATATGAATGACAGGGAAGAACTATTGGTTTATAATGACATTGTGTACATTATTTTTTCCTTTAAACTTGTAGAAAAATAAAACTCAAAAAGTTGTGTCTCTACATAAAAGAATCAAAATGGAACACGGACGATATTTGGACGGGTTCGACATTAAATGTTGAAAAACACAAAAACAAATTGCTGATTTGTACCAAAATCTTAACAAATTTTTGATAGAACAAACGGTTTTTGCATTTTTGAACTGAGAGGTTGATTTTTTTCTTTCAAATTTTATATTTTAAAGATTTACTTCTTAATTCCTTTAAAGTACTCTAGTCAACAATACAAGAATTCTATGTTTTTGATATTTTTTCGATACATTTTATATATACGTAAAGATTTAAGAATGCTGAAGAGTAATCGTAAGAAAAATCGTTTTCAAAAAAATTACATAAGCCCCTTTAAAACCAGATTTGCCTATCGATTGACAATTTATTATTGTTATTGAATAACCAAAATTATATACTTAATATACATAAGCCTGATAGTTTTAAATATTCGGGTCGTGAACTCGTAGGTTATACAGTTTGCAACTTTTACAAAAGGAAAACATAACATTTTCAAACTTTTATATTCAACCCTGACATTGTCGTGTCATGTTTTAAAAATAATTTATGTCTCCGTAATAATTAATCAAGTAATTGGCGAAAACGTATAGTAAAATAAAAACGTGTAAGGTATGTCTTAAGTTTTTAATAACACTACCAATATACGATACGTTTTTTCAAAGCATCAAAAATATACAACCGATAACAATTTATAATAAATTGTGATGAAGACATGGAGATTAATGTTTTTAGTTAAAAAAAGTTTTTTTCTGGAAATCTATTAGAACTGACATAATAATTAATTAGTTATTACATCTAATTAAAATACTGTAAATAATAATGTTCAATTATATTTGTACTAACTTTTTTGGATTATTTTCATAAAGTAATTTGTGCAAAAGAGATATTTATATTTTGGCTTAACTGTATTGATAGCTTTTAAAAAAGAAAGTTATATTGGCCTTGAGATTTAAAGGGGAATATTATGAGAATTTTTCCGGTTTTAAACTTTATGCGGGTATATAACTTTTTTTATATACAAATAATTATAAAAAGGCTGATCAGATACGGAGAGGATTCATCAACATAACCGAGAAACCAAAACAACTAAGCATACAATAGCTAAAAAAAAAAAATAGCAAGTGTTTAATACGACTAGTTAATAAATATTATTATAAAATATAAGGTAGGTAAAAGTTGAAATTTAAAAATATCAACAACAAAGTAACATAACTTTAAAATGTCCATAAAAAGAATGTTCTTCAAGTTAAAAATGTCATAACGAAAAATTGATATTGATACGAAAAAAGTAAAATTGCAATGATAAATTAAAAGATAAATTGCCATTCAAATAAACTACAATATTTTTATAATGATAGTATACTAGATGAATCTCGGTTGACCACACTTGCTCTGATTTCTTCAATATTTTTTCGACAATTTTCTGTAGTTATAACTTAGCTGACAGTGCTTAGAAAAACTCCTGGGGAAAAAAATGTCCTTTTATTCAAAGTGCTGACTAAACCTCACCACTAATCGATATTACATGAAACTTTTGGAGTTCTTCCACAATTCGAATATAGATAAGAACATCGTTGTCAGACCAAGACATATTTCGCTTGGCATAATCGCATCTAAAACTCAAACAAATGTTTATCTAGAGATCAAAAACTTCTGTGGGTCTAAGTTTTCAGAAAAAAAAACTTTTTGACATGGTTTCAAAACATTTTAAAAAGGAAATTAGAAAACGTTTTTAATTATAATTAGGTTTAAAAATGACTTAGGAATTTTTATAGTTTAAGGATATTATCCAGAAGTTATTTCATAAAAGCAAAATGGTTTTTTTCCCTGTAGTGTATAATTCTTATAAATAATAATTAATTCGTGACAAAGAAATGGTAGAGTGTAAAATTCGTAAAATAAATAAAGTCCATTTATACGTTTGAAAGTTTGATATATGTATTCGTTCTATTTATTTTCATTTTCTTAATGGAATTTACTTCAAACGATTGCTACGTTTAATAATGTTATTTAGTACTGATGGTAATTTTGTAACGAACAATACAATTTTGTTATTCTTCGTATTTCTTACGGTCAATAAATCGTTCTAATAAATCCACTTGAACTTAAAAACTCGTTATTTGTTTAGTCCATCGCCGCATATTTGATTTAAATTTGTCACTGGGGAAATATAAAACATTTTTTACAATTGGTGTCCAAAACGCATATATATATAATTTATAAATATTAAATACCAATATGAAAATAAAAAATATTTTAATATTTAAACATTATACTACATTTAAGCTTAGTGGTCTATTTTAAGGATATTTGTCAGCAACACGTCCGGCTCTCCATCTCCTTATACCCATCCAAATCTCAAATTTATGAGTTCCTATGTTAATTTACACAAATCCTTTAAATTAAATTTTATTTTATATTTCATAATTAATTAACAAGTTTGACTTGTTCTATGGGTCACAATTTAATGTTCTATTATACAATTTTCTTAAAACGTTTACATGAACTTAATGTACAGAACACTTGCAACTTTCCAAATGATTTTATAAGTACCTAGTTAACATTTATATGAATTTATTAAGAAATACTATTTTATTAGGTAGTTTTTATTATTATTTTGGATAATGTGCCCATGGATGCACTCATCGAATCTATCACATATTAATTACATGTGATATTTAAAATTAGTTTTTTTATTCCAACTATACAATATTGTTATAAACTTGAAAAAATTGAGTATTTATTACCTATATTAAATTAAAAGAAAAAACAAGGTTTTTCTTAGGAATTAAAGTGAATGGTTTTTATTTTAAAAATTACATTCATTTTTCGTTTTTAAATACTTACACTATCAACAAAACAAAAATGTATTTCCCATAGCACAACAATTTTCTCGACATCTCATACAACACTTAACTGTAGAGTCTTACATTATAAATACCCTGGTAGTAGAGTTTCTCCATAAATTAATTTTTTTGTTGTGTATTTATGATTACATCGTAACTGTTGTATTCGTGAAATGTTCTTCAATAGATTATACCTCGAAAATATTAATTCTGCGATGTCTTCCCTTATTAAATAGGTACCAAACATTCCTTGAATTATGAATATAAATTAATTTACAAGGATTTACGATTATATGTATACGTATATGCATGCGAGTACGTTGAAATATAAACTATTTTTATTATGTCATGAAAGATTATTTATTGTTCGATCCGATAGTGGATTCATTTTAAAAGTTTGAATTTTCTTTTTAGTTTTTAAACTGTTTATTGTTTAAGTTTATATTATATTTTGTTCTCAATTTAAACTTATTCAATTTCATTTATCAAATAGCATTAAAACAAACTCAAAACATTCATATTTGATAATTTCCCTATTGTCTTGTTATTTGTAAATACAAATTTATAATTTTTAAACTTTAAAATGCCTTAAGTGAAATATTATGTAGGATTAACTATGAAAGTTAAAAAATATGAAAAAGTATATCAATAAAATAATTACCTTGATAAAGTTCTAAAAAAAAATAATAACATGATGCAAATAAATGATATTATAGGCAGAAGTTATAGGTTAGAAAAGTTTTTAAACTTAATTGTTAGTGTTTTTTTTTAATTATACACCTCACGATATTCTAACATAGTATTATCTAAGTTTTTCGGGTCAACAATTTCTATACAGTTTGGGTAATTAGAAAGTTTAGAATGCTATGGGATCATTCTCTGAATATGTATCTTAGATTTGATTTAAACTAACGTTTAATAATGCTATTTAAATTATGTCAAAAGCAATACAGATTAAATAAAAGTAATGTATACATTATTATTATTATTATTATAACAAACAATTATAAATAAGGCTCAAGAGGCTTTAGATATCAAATGGGTTGTGTTTAACATTTAAATAGGTA